GGTGAGTTAGTTACGGTAAATAAGTTTAACTGGGCCATACCTGGTCCACAAACAGCTTCTGTCACACAGCCAATATTCACCAGAGCCAAAACACATTTAACTCCTGTGGAAGCCAAGATGGTAGCATGAGTAGATCTTAAAGGTTAGAGATATTTCAAAAACAACAGTATAGTGTTGGACACACTTAACTTGAGACAAGATTGATGTTTCTCTTTCTGAATTAACTCTTGTAAGATACTTTTTGCAGCTGTACACAGAAACTAGTTTATCATCAGCATAAAGTTGGATCTCTGCATCATGAACAGTTCACTTCAGCGCTGTTCAGAGTTTAAAGATCAGATTTGTTCATTCGTCACGAGACGTCTTGTACTAATGTGAGTCTGAAGGTAAAGTGACCCAGTGATCTGTTGGCAGGGATTGTTTTTGTAACACTGTCTTTGAAGAGGAAAGGCTGCAGCAACCAGGGGGATAATGTTTCAGTTCAAATCTCTGATGACTCAGAGGTGGTTCAGGCTCCGGTAAGCAATTGCTGCTATTACTAAGAAATGAAATGGAACTGTGAGTGCTAATCTTACAAACTTGGAACATTTTGTTTTTGTTTTGTTTACTTTTGTTAACATTTTTTTTTCATTAGTATATTCCCTTATTCCTGATTTCCTGTGCTTGTCTGTGCTTGTTCCTGAGATTACTACCTTGTTGTACTAATTCCTTCTGTTCTTTTCCAGCCAAGGGTGATCTACTCCCAACCCGAATGATGCCACTGAAAAAAATAAAATAAATTAATAGTCTTTACTGTAATAGTCTTTTTAAGACGACTTTGTCTTGTTCTGGATCCTGAAGCTGATCGTGGTTTTTCTGTGGATCATGTTGGCGGTTCTGCTCTGCGCAGATGCAGAGAACATGACTGATATTAAAGGGGAGCTGAGGAGAGATTTCACTTTAACCTGATCCAGTGGGGCTTCAGATAGTGTTGAACCTAAAACCAACACTTGTGGAAACTTACAGACTTTTCTCTTAGTGTTTTACTTTAGTGTTTACTTCAACAACAACGTCAACATGTTTCCGCCACAGTTTTTTTTCAGACTCTATCTACTGCTTTTCAAATTTTGCAACCAACTTGTCAACCTTGGAAAACAGACTTGTCACTTTAGATTTCAGAGTAGAGGACTACGGGCTTTACTTGTGTGGCAGGAAAATAAATTATATAATGCATTTTGTGGACATTTTCTGACCAATATCAAGTAAGTACCAAAGGTTTTTGTTTATTTATTTATTTTGACTGTGTGGTGTCTCTCAAAGTTGAAGAGATGTTGTTTACTGATCCATTGTTGTCAGATTCTCTTTGAAAATGACATTTGACTTAAAAACCACAAATATTAATGTATTCATATCATCTTTAGGGAGAAAATAAATGGCTTCCATGTGGTGTTTCAGCAGCATTGTTAGACTTTTCTAATCTAGTTATGACGTGACACTCTATATTCATGTGAATGTTTGGCATTGTGTTAAAAAAAGAGAAAACAGCAAGCTTTCTGCACTTCCGTGGTCACTTAACTGCAAGCTGTAGTTATGTAACCATGGAATTGCATTTTGTATTACTGAGAGAGAGAGAGAGAGAGAGAGAGAGAGAGAGAGAGAGAGAGAGAGAGAGAGAGAGAGAGAGACAGAAAACCCTGTCAAGTTGGCATCTGAAAGCAGAGAAGGCTTGAGATTTTAAGGGTTCAGTTTACAACATTTCCACTGAGCAAAAGATCCATCCATCCATATCAACTGTGGTCTTTTGTGTGATCTTCTTACTGCTCTCCTGATTTTGAAACCAATGTTTTAATCTTGGGAAACTTGTCACTGAAAACCTTTCAGGAGAGAACTGCAGGCTTTGTCTCTATAGCATGACGACAAACAGCAAACTTCACTTTGTGGACACTTTTCACTCAGTCAGTAAGTACAAAGTTTTTACTTTCAAGGTCTAAAAGTCAGTGATGCCTACACCACTGACACCAGTTACTGATAACCATTTTCAATGTATAAAGTCTTTTTAGTGAGCAATAATCTCATTTTCTCAGAGTGGGAGAAACGTTTCTCCCCAAAATAATACTGATAATAGTCACAGTGTACTGAGTACTTGTGTGCTGTGTTTAAGGATGAGGAGCATCATTTTCTGTTCATCTTCCCTTGGACTAAAAACTGACTTCCAGTTTCCAGGTTACATTTATGCATTTTTGGCCTTCTGTGGAACCGAATACTTCATAAATTTTGATTTAAATCTTTCTATAAATAGACTCAGACTAAAGTCAGAGTGGTACAGCAAATTTAGTGCTGATTAAGAAAACTACCACACTACAGATTGTGTGTCAACTATCATTTTTATTTAAGGTTTCAGGAGTTTTTTCTGCAAAAGCAACTTAGAGACACAAGATGGAGCCACTTGATCAAATCATCTTTGTTGAACAGCTGAAGCCCACCAGCTCTGGTGTTTGATTATTTAGAGTTTACTTCACACTACTTTAGACCTGCTGTTAGTTCTGCTAAACAAGATTTACTTATTGTCATTATGTTGCTATAACATAACAAAATTGCAGTGGTGCCCTCTGTGATAAAGTAAAAACAAAAAAAGATAAATGAAAAGATTAAAAAAAGATAAATGGAGAAGTCTGTGAGTACAGTGACTGGATGTGAGTGTGCGTGCAGGGAGTCCATGAGCCTATGTAAGTGTGTCTGCAGGGCAGCAGAGGGAAAGGCAGATGGCTTTCACAAAGTTGGTATTTGTGGTTTGCTGTTTTATCAAAAAAAGCCAAAGCGAGCGTGTAAAGAAGGAAGTGTGGAACACTTCACCTTCAGTCACAGAGCTGAGCTACGACTCAGACTTGTTGTTGTTGCTGAAGCTGATCATTGTTCACCTGTGGATGGTTCTGCTCTGAGCAGAGGCAGAGGATGTGACCGAGGTCAAAGGGCAGCTGGAGACAGAAATTTCTTGCTTTTATTCATGATTTAAAATTTTCAGTTCATCTTAAACTTATCTCAGTTGTTCTGTCTCCAGGTATCACTTCATGCACTGACTCAGACCAGCAGCAGCAGCAGAAGACCAGCCTTCCTGATTACTGCCCTCATTGTTTTCATAGTGGGTGGGTGTAATATCATTAGTAGAGTCAACAGCTACTCCAATACAGATATTTGCAGCATTCGCAGTTATGATACAAAGAAAATAAAACCTCTAGAATTCAAATATTTAACATATCGGCACAAAATAAAATTAAAGGTATTAAAATTAAGTAACTACAACCAAGATGAACAATAATACATCACTTATGACACTGTGGCATTATTGGTTTAACAAAATGTCAATGGAAAATTGTATTTAGTAGTCAGTATAATCTTTTAGTGATATAAGTTTGCATATGGTAGAATACTGCATATAGTTATTTGTATTAGGAAATATTCAACCATGTATACTTAGAGGCATATAATCAATTGTGTGTGATCTCTAACAGGCTGCAGGCTTGGTGTGCACTCCAGGAATGCACCCCCACGTCCTAGGCGCATGAGAGGTCGCACCTTGTTTTATTGTTTTAACATAGCTATGTCTGTTTTAGTCTAAGTGCCTTTTTGTCTAGATGAACTGCTGGACTTCTTCACTGTGTTATCTAGGGTGAACCATCTAGGGT